CAAAAGTAGTATACTATTTTGCGTGCCCGATTTCAAAAATGTCGTAAGTGTTAGAGAACATGAGGTATTTTAAAACATTTTGGCAATACGAAGCAAATTACATCTGCGCTAAGTAATTCACTTCGCGTGCCTCTATATAGGTGAATGGCCAACGCGATTGGAATTTTTTAATGTTTTGATGTTTTAGGGTTGTTACTGAGGAAATATTGTTGCAATAAAACTAAATACATTACTATTAATGATTTTTTTATAGAATAGGATGACAAACGAGCATATAGTTCTCGTGATGGTAAGTGGATGCTGTGGCCCATAGACATCTGCATTTAACCTTGATTAAGAATCAAAATACAGATTCGTTGTCACTCCTGAGGACTAAGATGGAATGCCTCGTTTCCAATAGAAACGGTCTCCGTTTTACTCAACACTATTTTTTACGGGGTTGTCTCCTATTCTGATGCGGCTGTAGCGCCTCTCTCTTAAACTTCAAACCGTGCCCCAAATTTGGAAGCTTGCCTATGTGCAACCGTGCAACCAGTATCCAAAAAGGATTGTCGAGCCGATCCCTGTGATTATCGACCAATCACCATCACCTCCATACTCTGTAAAGTTATGGAATGGTTACTGAACAGTAAGCTGCTGGCATACCTAGAAAGTTGAAACAAATGACCTCATTAATGACCATCAAAATAGGTGGACTGTGATCCACTTGTCTCCCCATTTCTATAAAAAAATCACTACTAACATAGATGGTCTTTTTAAAATCAACATTATGGTTCTACTCTGGTGCTCTATGGGAGTTTCAGCCTTTAGATAGTACAGCTTCAACACAGCAGCTCTTCCACATAAAGACCCTAATCAAGACTTAATTTAGAAACCAAAGTCGTATATTTTTATGTTTTTAAAATTATCGACAGCCCTAAGTTTAACAATTAACTTTCACCTTAAGTAAGCGCTCGCTATTTTATGGTAATAAGAGCATCCATTATACCATTTCGTCCCGTGGGTGTTGTTTTAGGCAAACTATGGGAAATTGCAGGAAATTCTTACGATTTCGACGATATCTGGCGGAGACGATAGATGGCGGTAAAATCATCTCGTTATCGCCAGACGTATTCGACGCCTCAGCAGCCTTGAAGGTATGGACCTGTCCATCATATGGCTGCACGTAGACAGCCACAGGAGGCCTATGTTCAGCAGTGGACTTGTGAAGGGCTGTAATGATGATGAGACAGCCACGACCATCTCCGCATCTACGATTGCCTCTATAGGTCCCATAGTGGTAATGCCGACATAGACCGACTCATCGACCACGTCTAAATGGCTGCAGATACCGTGCTACAATAGGTCCCATCCGCAGAGATCGTGATACCTGGTGATTGTAACACCCACGACGCTGAATGGCTTGGTTCCCGTTCAACCGGTCATGCGGGTAGATCTGTTTATGACTTTGCTGGCATATATATGTGGAAGATCATGTACCTTCCCTGTTGGACCTTCTGCTGATCTCTCATCCGGACTGATATCAGATCTCCGACATGCCCCTCTTCTTCAGGAACTCCCGGACCATTATCTGAGCGGTGATATGATGCCACTCATGCTTCCATTGCGGTTGCGTTCTGCAGGTTGCAGCCGTGTTTGGCATTAAAGGTCAGCCGATTGGTACGGGATGCGATCTTTTGCATCCCACCCTGGATTCGGGTTTGCTACTTGCCGGGTGATCCCAGCGTTTTTGCTGCTTCTGTCGCTGATGTCGTGCTACAGGGAATGGAACTTTTTATTCCATCATCTGTGGTACCTGTCTCCCCACTCCACTCCTGTCCACTCCTGCAAAATTGCATTACGCCATAAGTAGGAGTGCTATCAGGCCTGAGCTGACGCATCGACATCTCAGGATGCAAATACCAGCACTCTTAAAAATATGTATAATTCCGCCTCCAGGTCCTTTAAAAGTGTCATTACCAAGGCAAAGTCGGAGCACATCATCAAAATTGGCAGGAAACTAGTTCGACTTCATTATTATAACAAGTGCATTATGATCTATCGCCAAGGCTGTCCAGGGGAACTACTGTCAACCATCTCTCCTATCTCTGCACGGGGTGGTCAACTCACTGGCCCATGCCGCAAAGAACAAAGTCAATCCAATGGGCTCTTTCCTTGCGTCCAACTCGACTCTTGTTGACGGAGGGAATACACTGCCGACGATCCCGCGGTGTGAGTGCTCTATGTAGGATATGCTGTTTACCCAGCGCTCGGTGTGCAGAGCACCCCTCTTTTTGGACGTCAACAAGTCGAGTGGGCCTGATAATGTCCGTCCTATTGTGCTGAAGATGTGTGCTCCGGAGTTGGCACCGGTTTTAATGTGTCTTGTCCGGTACTAGTACCCCTAGGCGTAGTCCCGAACTCATAGAAGACAGCTTTAGTGCATCCGATCCCTAAAAACGGCGACCGCGCAGGTAATTACAAGCCTATCGCTATCACCTCCTTGTTCTCCAAAATAATTGAATCTATTATAAATTTCCATCTCATGATGTACTTTGAGTATCACCAGCTGATTAGTGACTGCCAGTACAGTTTTCGTCGGGGTGGTTCAGCTGGTGATCTTCTGGATTACCTTTTTTTATAGGATAGGGTGACAAACGAGCACACAGTCCATCTGATGGTAAGTGGTTGCTGCGGCCCATAGACATCTACATCTATCCTCGATTACAAATCAAAATGCAGATGCGTTGTCACCCGTGAAGACTAAGATGGAACGCCTCATTTCCAGTCAAAAGGGTCTCCGGTTCTCTACACTCACCATACAAAATACCGCAGCATTAAGCTACTATTTCACGCTGGTATTCTGTGAGAGCGTGGTCCTTCCCCGGTCGAGCCGACCCATTCGTGCTACAACTATACTACTAATATAACTGCAGCATGGCGCTACCACGTATAATCTCATAGATGGGCGGAGGCAGTAGACTCCAAGGGGCCGTTGGCCGTTAATTTGGACATAGCAAAGGTTTTCAATCAAGGTTGGCACAAAGCGCTTCTTACGAAGCTTTCTTCTTATTGGCTTCCCGTTTTTTCAATTGTGCAATTGCATCATCAGTTTTTTGCAGATCGGAGCATCAAGGTTGTAATAGACGGTGCATGCTCCGATTACAAGCCCATTAACGCAGGTGTTCTACAAGGCTGCGTGCTATCACCAATGCTGTTTTTTCTGCATATCAATGACATGTTGCAAACTGGAGTCTCACAGACTGTGTGTGACTAAATCTATATCAGTTCAATCCTTAAAAGATACAAGTTTGCGCGATTACCGCCTAAAAGAACCCCTCCATCGTTTCTCCTTCCATTTGATCGCATCCAACGCAGAGCCGTTCGAATCGTCAGCGACCGAGCTCTTTCCGATCGGCTTGACTCACTGGCACTGCGAAGAGATGTTGCATCTCTTTGGGTATTTTTCGTATTTACCATGGGAAGTTCTCTGAGGAATTGTTCGGACTAATTCCAGCCGCATAACTTCACCATCGCACATCGCAACAATACTCGCGAAACCATCCATACCATCTGGATGACTGGTGGTCCATCACTGTACGATTTAAAAGAAGTTTTCTTCCTCGCACAACTGCCTTGTTGAATCGACTGCCACCAGAGACTTTCCGGACCGATACGACTTAGGGACCGTCAAGAAAAGAGCCTACTTCTTTTTAAAAGACTGCCAACGTATCTGCAATACCCCTGGTGTAGATGCTCGTTTGCCCCCCTTTCCTACAAAAAAAAATGTAAAATACCTAGGCCGACGAAGTGCAGCAGTCAAAGGTGCTGAACAAATTCTCCTTATAATAGAAGAACCTCATGGGGAACCAGTGGGTTTGAAGTGTTAATGTTTTCGCAGTACTTAATAGACAGGTGTCAATCATGAATGATTCGTTAGTTTGAGATGGTACACTTAAAAGTATTGATGGTTCATTCATCTGTTTTTGAATATTGACGGAACACGGACGAAACAAATAGTTGACGGAACCTTTTTAACTCGTGATTGGTGTGAATTGTGAATGAGTCGAAATCCGATCGAATCCCTAATGATCTGAAAGAATTGTTTTTAGTGTAGGGTGCTGGAATCTGAAATGATCCGTTTGAATGATCGAAACGAATGTACCGTACATGTGCTAGAATGATTCGGTCACGAGAAATGAATGATTGACACATGTCTACGCAGTAACATATTAATAATCAGTCCCGGTCTTAGAGTGGGGCGTGGTACCAGTTACACAACACAAAATCGAATTGACAATATTGGAGTCCAAAGAATATCATGTATGAATGATATCAAAGCGCGCCAAACGCAATGCCGAGCGCCCAATGTGTACTAGCTCTAAGGATATGTGTGTCTATAATTTAATGTTCTCTCGAAAATATTAGTTCAGGAAGCTAAATAGTCCAGGGAGTCTGTCTGTCTGTGTATTTGCGATTCACACAAAAACTACTGGTTGATTTCCCTTGAAATTTTGTATGTTTATTCAACTATGATAGTGAAAAGATTAAGAAGGGATTATGTCTTTCCTTTCTTTAGACGTTAATATTATGTTAAATAGATATTAAAAAAATAATCTAGCGATATTTGTCAATTTTGAAAATATTCACTCAGTTTGGTTGATATATCTATAAATATATACTAAGTAATGTTTTTCGGAACAATTGAAGCTCTTTACATATTTTTTGCACATTTCACTCTCGACGTACGCTTTCAATGCGTCCAAAAGTTACTCCAGTTGTAAGAATTTTCATAATACTGCATTGGACATAAAAGCCATCCGAGATTATTTTTTAAATAAACGAGAGAGGTTGGTAAATAAGGAATTATTTATGTGGGATAGTCGCGGAAAGCGTCAAAGACCAAAATACTGTTCGACTGGACAGACAGCATCGGCCGCAGGTTTTGCCGTTAAAGAAGACATGGAACGAGTAATTAGCGAGAAGAATCGGAAATAACTGATTTAGAAAATATAATCGACATGTTTGCGTCGCAGAAAGCTAGGAAGGTACAATTGTAACATTAACGGTTTTATAGACTTATTTTAATAAAAATAAATTGACTTAGGCATGTCACCTTCGGTTGTTCTGTGCTTTCTAAGTTTGAGTATTTGCACAAACACAACTTAGAAGCAAGGATTTTACATCGTATGCGTGTGTGGTAGTTCAAATGTTTTGTGTTATAATGGTTTTATTAAGTGTATCTTTTTATATTAAGATTATTTATTGAGGGGCGCAATATTGGCGCGTGCCCTAGACGCTATTTTCGATAAGTACGTTACTGCGCTATCGCCACACCTTCTACTTGCTTGTAGAACTCTAACTTCCACAATAGATATCCAGTTGTGAGGCAATGTCTGAGTAGTACTGCATAATCCAGAGGCATGTTGTTTTCTTCTAGCTTCCTAGTCACAATTGAGATGAAGTCCTCAATAGTTTTTTTTATAGAATAAGGATGACAAACGAGCACACTGTTCACCTGATGGTAAGTGGGTGCTGTGGCCCATAGACATCTATATTTTTCCTTGATTAAGAATCGAAACGCAGATGCGTTGTCACCCCTGAGGATTAAGATGGAATGCCTCGTTTCCAGTAAAAAAGGGTATCCGGATCTTTACACTCACTATACGAAACAGCAGTATTAAGGTGCTATTTTATATTATATTCTGTGAGGGCGTGGTTCTTCCCCAATCGATCCGACCCATTCTTGCTAGAACCGACAGGTATATAATCAAAGCTACAACCATAATATAGCTGCGGCGTGGCTCTACCAGGTAGGTAGGCATGTGAATAGTTATTGGACATTAAAACTGACCATTGTTTCATTGCCAGCAGGATGTAGGTCTTTTATCTCACTGACAATGGTATGAATTCATTTTATGTGATCTTGTGTGTCCTCTCAGTGGTGACAGTATTCATTTTGTGCTAAGTGTTTTATATCCTACCTTTCCTAAAAACGTTGACTTTACGGTGGTACTCATAAAAAAAGAATTGAATATCAATGTTAACTTTAGTATAAACTAACTTTTGTTGTCGTTATTGTTGTTGTGTTTTGTCTTTGGTGAATATAAGTTAAATTTAGTGATATAATATATTTTGTGTCATGGAGAAAGGAACTGTCGTCTGCGATACAGGCTCGGCCTAGTACATCGGGCAGTAACCGAAGCTTAAAAATTTGTAAAAATTTTACATAGCTTATTTTAAACATATTTTAAAATTGCTTATTGTAAAAGAAAGGAATGTAATGTAATGAGCTAATAAAGTTTATTTATTTATTATTATTAATTTATATGTTGGTGAATCAATTTGATTCGCTATGGGATGTAGAGCGTCGCGAATTAAAAAAAGTAAAAATTAAACGCGATACAATGCGTAAAATTAGTTTTATTCCATGTGTGGTATTTGCGTAAATATAAAAAATCATTATTATTTTATTCTTTTTCCTTTGAAGTCGTTTTTTATTTTTTTAAAGTTTAATGTTTCTTTGCTCATATTTAAGTATATATTCTTGGCATAAAATGAAGTGGAAGAAGTATCTTTTTATCTATCCATTTTTTTTTCTGATAAGAATAAAAATATATTATATTCATTATCATCATCATTACAGCCCTTCACAAGTCCACTGCTGAACATAGGCCTCCCCCAAGTAATGCCACAAAGCACGGTCCTGAGCCACATGCATTCATCGACTTCCTTCATACCTTACCAGGTCGTCACTCCATCTACTGGGGGGTTGCCCTACACTACGCCTACCGGTACGAGGCTGCCACTCGAGAACATTTCTTCCCCATCGGTTATCGGTTCTTCGAGCTATATGGCCGGCCCATTGCCACTTCAGCTTACTAATCCGTTGGGCTATGTCGGTCAATCTGGTTTTACTGCGGATATCCTCATTTCTGAGTCTATCACGCAGAGAAACTCCGAGCATAGCCCTCTCCATAGCTCGCTGAGCGACCTTGAGCGTCCTCATACGGCCAGCAGTCCACGTCTCAGATCCGTAAGTCATCACTGGCAACACGCACTGGTTGTACAATCTAGTTTTTAGAGATTGAGGTATACCTGACGAGAAGATATGTCGTAGTTTCCTGAACGCTGCCCAGCCGAGTTGAATCCGTCGATTGACCTCTCGGTCGAAGTTGGACTTACCTAGTCGGACTATTTGTCCCAGGTAAACGTACTCGTCAACAACTTCGAGCATAGTGCTCCCAACAACTACCGGCATAGGTGTGACATGGACATTAAACATGATCTTTGTTTTGTCCACGTTCATCTTAAGACCTATCCGTTGGGAGACACTATTGAGGTTATTGAGCATAGTGCTTAAGTCCTCCAGCGATTCTGCCATAACGACTATATCGTCGGCAAATCGAAGGTGAGTAATGTACTCGCCATTGATGTTAATACCGTATCCTTTCCAGTCCAGTAGCTTGGAAACGTCTTCCAATGCAGCGATGAAGAGTTTCGGGGATATAACGTCACCCTGTCTTACACCTCTCTGCAGTTGGATAGTTCTCTGGTTCTGTACTCGGATAGCCATCGTAGCCCTACTGTATAAACACTTCAGCACTTCGATATACCGACAGTCAACTTGGCACCGCTGAAGGGATTGTAGCACCGCCCAAATTTCGACGGAATCAAAGGCTTTCTCATAGTCCACATACGCCAGGCAAAGTGGCAGATTTTACTCTTCAGTCTTCTGTACAATCTGCCGCAGGGTATGTATGTGGTCTATGGTACTGAAGCCTTTTCGGAAACCGGCTTGTTCGGGAGGCTGGAAGTCGTCGAGTCTGCGAGACGATTCGTAATGACTCTCGAAAACAGCACGTAGACGCGGCTCAGAAGGGAATCTGTCCGTAGTTCTTCAAGAGAGCGTTGTCGCCTTTCTTAAAGAACAAGACCAACGCACTTCTGCTCCACGCCTCTGGAGTAGTGCCACCATGGAGGACGGAATTGAAGAGCTTCTGAAGGACTTCAAGTACCCGTGTTCCACCCGCTTTCAGAAGCTCCGCTATAATTCCATCCTCGCCTGGGGCCCTGCCGTTTTTAAGGTGCTGGAGAGCCATTCTCATCTCGCTTAGACTAACGTCCGGAATATCATCGGAATAGTCGGATAAGACTTGCTCTTGGATCGTTACTCACACTTGCGTGTGGCTCCAACGATGATGTGTCCAGCTGCCCATAGAACCTCTCAATCTCACTCAAAATCTCAGGTCTCCCGGAAACGATGCTGCCATACTCAATCTTCAGCTTTGACAGTTGGCTCTTACAGGCAGACAGATCTCTGGCAAAGACTTTGGAGCCCTGGTTCCGCTCGATCGCTTCTTTAATACGAGCAGTATTAAAGTTGCGTAAGTCTCGCCGCATGCATTTGGAGATCTGTCTGTTCAGTTGCCTGTATGCTGTCAAATACGTTGACGATTGCAGCCTCATCTCCCGTCTAACAGCCATGAGATTAAGAGTGTGATCGGAGAGTTTTTGTGTTCTTCTGCGGCGGGTCTTGCAGAACTTAGCTCCGACCGCATGGACAGTTTCTACGAGCTTGTCATTCATATCGTCCACTGCATTGCAATCTTGTAGGCACTGAAAGCGGTTACGTAACTCGAGCTGAAAGTTTTCGGGATTCTGGATTAGAGCACGAGGGGGACGGAGCGTTGACTTCATTAGACGAGACCTCTCCAACTTAACGTTTAGGTTCAGTGTGCCTCTAACCATTCGGTGATCGCTTCCAGTTTTCACCCTTGCGATCACTGAGACATCACTGAACAGTTGGCGTCTGGTCGTCATAATGAAGTCAATCTTATTTTTTGTCGAACCGTCGGTCCAGGTCCACTTCCTGTGGGGCCGCTTCTGGAAGAAAGAGTTCATCATAAAGAGTCCCTCTTTCTCCATAAAGTCAGCCAATACATATACAATGCTTTATTATAATATATTATATTATAATAAAGCATTGTATACTATAGAGATACTATAACTATATATCGGCTATGGAGACGCTTTATTGTCGAATCAAGCACAACGAATCAGAACAATTGTACCGATAACCAATAATACTACCAGCTCTCAGCAGGGACATTCCAGTACGTACGACGACGTTCAACTAGCGCTCAGCTTAAATGAACTTGCTTCTATGTAGGTTGACCATGTCTTTGATTTATTTAACAAAATTAAAGCGTAATGATTTCTTAAATTTACACGAATAATACAGATTAAATAAACATTGGGAATTAAAAGGAAAAAATTAAAGGATTTAGAATCTGAAAAATTATTTTTATTTAAAATCAATACAGTCCCTTACTTCACAACAGTTAAAACTTAGATAGTTTTAACGTTTAATTAAACGCTACGACTTAGAATTTTATTCTATATCGTGGGCTCCACATATGCTGCTTACATACATAAATTGGATAACAACACACACCCAGACCCGGAACAACCTTTTCTAGCCCATACAAACATTTGTTCCTTGCGGGATTCGAACGCGAGGCCCTGTAGTGCCGAAACTTAGCTTATCCACTACTCCTCGGAGCTGTCAAACAATTGTAGAATAATTAAGAAAACAATGAACTAAGTTATTCTATTTATTTATTGTTTGTATGTCTAATATCTATCTCTATCTATAATAATATCTGTTACGAGGATTAAATCGTTCATTTTATATTCTTAAAATTTGTTTAAGCCAGTTAAAAATATAGTCCAGGGATTGTAATCAATAATTACAGCAGTTCTGCTATCGATATTTGCAAGAGTAACGAAACTCAGGCTCCTAAGGTCACAGCTCGTAAAAGAAACAATATTAAACATGAGCCTATAATACCACCCTCTTGTAACACAATCTTAATCTCATGGCATATCTCCAAATGCATGTGGCGAAACTTAAGCAACTACAACACAGCTCGTATTGAAAAAGCGTTCGAGCGAAACTAGGGCTCGAAATCCTTTGCCAGAGACCTGTCTGCAAGAAAGAGCTAACTTTCGAAGCTGAAGACCAAATGTGGCAGTATCCGAGACCTCTGAGATTTTGAGTGCGATTGAGAGGTTCTACGAGCAGCTGTAGACAACATCGTTGGAGCTACACGCAAGTTTAAGTAACGATCCAAGGGCAAGTCTTATTCAACATTATTCCGATGATACCCCGGATATCAGTCTGAGCTAGATTAGAATGGCTATCCGGCACCTTAGAAACGACAAGGCACCAAGTGAGGATGGAATTACAGCTGAGCTATTGAAAACCAGTCAAGTCGATGGATGTAGGTGGCTCAGGGCCGTGCTTTGTGGTGTATGTGACTTGTGAAGGGCGGGAATGATGACGAGTAATAAACGTGCACACAGTCCTCCTGATGTAAGTGGATGCTGTGGCCCATGTATATAGTCTACATCTATTCTCGATTAAGAATCAAAATGCAGATGTGAGATGAAATACTTTGTTTCCAGCGGTTCTCTACTATTGCCATAATAAACGTTAGATCGTGATCCTTGCCCAGTCAATCTGACCCAATCGTGTTACAACGACAATACTCGTATAGCTGTAGCGTGGCTCTACCACATATGAAATACCTATGTGATATGATGGAATGATTCAATCTCACCGTCATATTGGCTCCTTTACCCTTGAAAGTGGAACATTGGCTCTTTTTTACCTTAGAAACAGACTCTGACCAACAAACAAAGGTAGACATAACACAACGTATATTTCAAGAAACATCTAAACCTTTTGTAAGAACACGTACTCACGCACACATCAGCAGCTGAAATCACTATATCACCCACAATATGTTACCTTCTACAATCTAGAATGAAGTTTTAGGGAGTATTCTAATCAAAATAGTTCCAGGTTTACTTTAAACCAGTTAGCCAGGCGTGGCTATCAACTATGGCAAATATTTTTTGTGCCAACATGTGGGGCCTATGTTAAGTCGTGGACTTTTGATTGCCTATGATGATGGATGAATGAACTAAAATCTTATATAGTTGTTTTATTTTGCAATCCGTTTAAATACTTTATTTGTGGAATGCCTACATATTCGGCAAGCCAAGATAAAACACTTTCGAGAAGCTGTCGAACAAAAGTGAATGCGCGGGAAAACGGTTGTCATTTGAGTAGCACCGACGCATGAAGACGGTTGTTTTTGCAATAGAATTTATAGCTAAAGCTACACGATTTGAGTGCCTTGTTTACGTGGTGAAAGAAGCTGGATATTAAACAAATATTTTGTGTACGTGATACAAAGTGCAGGAAGTGTTAACAAATAGTGAGAAAGGAGATAGGTGAGTGCAATATAAAGATAATGTTATACTAAGATAGAACACGATAAGATATAATATATAGGACACTATTATTTTTTATTTTAAAATAAATAAAACCTATTTTTTTTGCATATTTTTGTGAGTAATGATCACATGACTTTAAATTGAGTTTATAGTGAACGATTGATGAAACAAATGGAAACATTATCTTTTTTTTAAATAGGTTAGGTTGACAAACGAGCACACAGTCAACCTGATGGTAAGTGATTGCTGCGGCCCATAGACATCTACATTTATCCTCGATTACAAATCAAAATGCAGATGCGTTGTCAACCGTGAGGACTAAGATGGAATGCCTCATTTCCAGTAAAAAGGGTCTCCGCTTCTCTACACTCACCTTACGAAACAGCAACATGAAGCTACTATTTCACGCTGGTATTCTGTGACAGCTTGGTCCTTCCCCGGTCGAGCCGACCCATTCGGGTTACAACTATACTACGTATATAACTGCAGCATGGCTCTACCACGTATTATCTGCGTAAAATAATTTAAAAAAGGAAACTTGAACCTACCTCAAGGATCAAACATATAGCAATATCAAACATATAAACTACAAAATAATGAACGTAATTACGTCAGTAATGGACAAAAGGTAAATCAAAGACTGCGTGAGTAAAATAAGTATTAGATGCAACGGACGCATTGAAAGAGTGTTTTTTAATTTGTCGTTGATACAGACAATAATAAAATACTCAAAATAGTTATTTTATAAGTATATAAATATTGTCAAAGAAAGTAATTGAATGAAATTAATAACTTCCTCAATAAATAGAAATTTTGAACTTTACCTTTTTGACTTTTGACTTATAGATTCCAATTAAATGGAATAAAAACATTTTCGATCTAATTTTTGTAATACTGTGTTTAAAAAATATTAGATCTAATAATGAAACAATAAATCTAATCGATCGATATAAATAATAATTTTAATACACACAGTAGTTTTGGTCTTGGATGTTTTTCCAGTTTGTCCAACTTTAGTAAATACTGAACAAAATTATCGATGACGTAAATAAAAACATCATTATCATTGCATCATCTCTTAACGACCGCGTGCACCAGCGTGCGTGCTCACGGCCGGTTTACAACATCTTAGTTAGTCCTTTCGTGCAATAGTAGCGTTCAAATACAAGTGCTCAAAAATAAAATACAATTCTTTTTAAATGTAGAAAGATGAAAATCACTAAAAGTTGCAGCTTACACTTATCTTTGTACTAATGCACCCTCCTAAATCACTCCCTGAGAATCAACACCCTTACTCTTAAAATCGATGTCGATGTATTGTTCTCTCTATAATTTTACTAAATCTTAAAAATATAATATTGCTAAATAGTCGTATGACTTTATTGTGTATTTATATTGTTTGCATATATATTTTTTTATAGATGTATAAATTTATATTATGAATATGTGTTTATATATTATGTAAGTATAATAATATTTTTATCTTCCCGCTATGAAAATCAACGATTTTCAAAAAACCGGGAAGTTATTGGTTTTACCCCGGTTTTCGCAAATCGAATTCTCATCAGATCTCCACGTTTTGAAATTATAGGAAGCCGTTTTGACCATTTCTACGAGGATGTCATTATGTCTGTATTTATGTGTGTGTGTATGGATGTATGTTAACCCCCTCATAACTTTTGAATGGCTTGACCGATTTGAACGAACTTAGTGGCTTTGAAAGCCACTAAGTTCGTTCAAATCGGAAAGGGCTTCACCAAACTGAGATTTTCTATACCATTTGAACCGATTAGTACCAGCATATTTTGAGAAATCTCAAAATAAAACTTTCAAAAAAATGTACTTTTAAAATAACTTTTAAACAGATGTAACGATAAATTTCAAAATCTAATCAGCTGCGTCGAACGCCGATAAAATCGGTTGTTTTGTTCGTTAAATGTTCACTTTTGAAAAAAAAAACGTGGTTTTTCAAAATTATCACGCTTTTGTGCTCGAAGACCTTTCTTTCTTTTATACTTTCTTTTCTTTTTAGCTTCGACAAATTCTCACCAGTTCATGGGTTGACCGGTAGAGAATGCCTTAAGGCATTAAGTCCCCTTTTAGTACAATCCTTCCTTTCTAAGGAAACGCAATAAAGTTAAATAAATATAAAATGACAATAGAAATATACAGGCATAGGGAAAATTAATTTAAGTAAACGATATTTATAAAATAAAAGTAAGGCCATAAGTGACACGGTAGAATTAATATAATAATTTTATACCAGTATATTTTACTGGTAGGACGGTTTTTCCTAGAATCATGGTCAGGACACATAATATCTATCGATTGGAACATTCTAGGTTCTAATCTAAGTGAAAGTATATATTTGTACGACAGATAAATTCATCTCCGTCCGTATTACATCGTATAAGACAGTAGTTTATTGTTTATTTTCGTCTCAGAACAACAAGATATATAGACGAAGTTCTGGATACATTTCAATTGACGATTTATTTAAGCTTGACATGCATACACGGACACATATTTCTTCTTTCTTTCCTTAATATGCTGCAAAAGTTCACTGCAAGATCTAAACCATATTGTGTGTGCCAAATTATTTTAGATGCATATGTCTTAGATTGTTATTTACTCAAATAATCTAAGGCATATGTGTACTTTATGTTTTTACCTGGGTCCGATCCCCGGTTACACCAATAAAGGTCGACTCACGCTAGACCGAGTCGGGTCCGAGCCGAGTGTCGCCGTAGTACGGTCACTGAACCGGTGCTGTGCCTGAAGTTACAAAGACGGACCTCGACCGAGCAATTACCGTTGCGCCGTGATGCAGTATACACGTCCGAGCAAAAACAGTATTATAAGTGGACTACAATCATGTTGAAGTTTGACGATTTGGAATTAGCGGCTATTGCGATCGCTTTGGACTATGAAGAATCTCATAAATCTTCAATTAAAAGCCGGGACCGAGTTGTTGACGATATTTGGCGGCTGGGATTAATCCGAACAATCCCTCAGAGCACTCTCCATGGTATATGCGAAAGAAAATGCAAAGAGATGCAACATCTCTTCGCAACGCCAGTGAATCGAGCCGATCGGAAAGTACTCGGTCGTCGACGATTCGAGCCGCTCTGCGCTGGATGTGGTCAAGTGGAAGGAGCTGGTACTGGGAGCCCCAACCCAGACATGGGAACAGTATTCCATGTGCGGCCGAACCTGCGCCTTGTAAAGTGGCAGGCGGTGTGCCTGAATTAAATACTGTCCCGCTCTGCTGAACACGCCAAGCTTTTTAGAGGCCAATTTGGCCCTCTCTTCCAAGTGACCACGAAACTGCATGTGATATGTTGACGCCTAGGATTCCGATACTGGCTGAAGCAACAAGGGGAGTGCCTTGAAACTGAGGAAATACGACAAAGGGGTTCTTTTTAGCGGTTAACGCGCAAACTTGTGTCTTCTAGGGGTTGAACTGGACTAGATTTAGTCGCCCCCAATCCGAGACTTTGTTCAGCAAAGACTCGACTTCAGACACAAGTTTGCCCCGGTACTCGGAGACGTTTTCCCGAGAAATATTAGCTCGGCCGATGTAATGAGCATTACCAGTGCTGTCATCTGCATAGCAATGAATGTTACGGGTTTGCAAAATATCATTGATATGCAGAAGAAACATAGTTGGCGAGATGGAAGGCACGCAGCCTTGTGGAACATCAGCATTAATAGGCTTGCAATCGGAGCTTGCACCGTCTAAACTACCTTGATGCTCCGATCTGCAAGAAAGCTTGTGATCCAATCTCACAATTTCTCGGGAAGCCCATAGGAAGGGAGCTTCGAAAGAAGCGCTTTGTGCCAAACCCCATCGAAGGCCTTCGCAATGTCCAAACTAACGGCCAATGCCTCCCTCTTGGACTCTACTGCCACCGTCCATCTATGAGTTATGTAGACCAGAAGATCACCAGCTGGCATATCACGACGAAAACCGTATTGGCGATTACTAATCCGCTGGTGATCCTCAAGGTACCTCATGAGCTGGCAGTTAACAATAGACTCCATTGTTTTGGAGAACAAGGAGGTGATGACGATAGGCCGGTAGTTGGACGGGTCTGAGCGGTCGATTTTTTTTAGGGATCGGGTAGACGAAAGCCGTCTTCCATGATTTTGGAACTACGCCTAGGGAGTAGGAGTACCGGAAAAGACGCGTTAAAACCGGTGCCAACTCTGGAGCACACGTCCTCAGCACAATTGGGGGGGTTCCGTCAGGCCCACTCGACTTGTGGATGTCCAGGGAGAGGAGTGCTTTGCGAACCGAACGCTGTGTGAACTGCATTTCCGGCATGGAGCACTCACACCGCAAGATAGTCAGCGGCGTACTCCCCCTGTCATCGAGAGTCGAGTTGGACGCAAAGAAAGAGCCTAGAAGATCGGCTTTCTCCTTTGCGGTATGGGCCAGTGAGTCTTCCTCCCTGTGCAGAGATGGAAGAGATGGCTGACAGAAATTCCCCTGGACAACCTTGGTGAGAGACCAGAATGCACGGGTTCCAGAAGGAAGGCGAACTAGTTTCTCGCCAATTCTGCCTATTTTTTGAGAGATTTGCCTCCAATGGGCACCACAGAGGAAGGAATGAAAAGTTCCATACCCTGAAGTTGCACATCAGCGACAGAATCCGCAACAACGTTGGGATCGTCCGGCGAGAAGCAAACCCGCCCCCAAGGGTAGGATGCAAAGAAAGACCGCATCCCATCCCAATCGGCTGACCTATAGTGCCAAACACGGCGGCAGCCTGCAGAATGCAACTGCGATTTCAGCGTGAGTGGCACCACACTCCGGACAAGAAGAGAAGGACTCCGAGGAGCCTAATGGGGCGTCGACGAAAATCTGATATCCGTCCGGGTGAGAGGTCAGCAGAAGGTCCAACCTTAGGGAAGATGCATGATCCTCCACATCTGGAATCCGCATAGGCGAAGTAACTAGTTGTGTCAGACCATATGCCAAAGGCAAGGCATGC